TAACTTTCCTTTTTAGTGTAAAGAGTGTTTGTTTAGGCTTAGTTTGTGCTTCCTACTACTTAATTACCCAGAGATGAGGTAGCTGTGCTCTTAAGGAAGTCAGAAATGCACACTGATGAGTGCTGGGCAGCACAGACCGCATAGTTTTCACAAAATATTGCACAGATATGTTGGCAAATTAGTTTTGCAGGTGGGGTCTGTTTGCTTCTTTAAGTGTCTTGTGTTTTCTAAAAGGTCAAAATAGCTTTGCATTTCATCTGCAGAATCAATTCCTTCCTTTTGTGTCATCATGCATTAAAGTAGCACCTTTGAGACAGCTGGTGTCTCTGGTAGTATCCGCCTAGCCATGGCCGGCAACGGGACATCCCTTGTCACTCACAGGTAATCAATGTGCCTCTTTGGGACTGTAGGAGCAGCAGGAAAGGGTGGATGCTTTCCAAACACCAAGTGCCCAGAGCAGATCCATAAAACACAAGAAGTCATAGAATCACAGAATCATTTAAGTTGGAAAAGACCTTTAAAATCATCAAGACATCTGTTAACCTAACACTGCCAACTCCACATCTAAACCATGTCTCTAAGCACCTCATCTACATGTCTTTTAAATACCTCCAGGGATGGTGACCCAATCACTTCCTTGGGCAGCCTGTTCCAATGCTTGACAGTCCTTTTGGTAAAGAATTTTTTTCTAACATCCAATCTAAACATCCTCAACTTTTCTTTTTTCCATTTCCTCTTGTCCTATCACTTGTTACCTGGGAGAAGAGACAATCCCCACCTCACTACAACCTCCTTTCAGGCAGTGGTAGAGAGCCTCCTCAGCCCCCTTTTCTCTAGACCCCCAGTCCCCAGATCTCTCAGCCGTTCCTCATCAGACTTGTCCTCTAGGCCTTCACCAGCTTCATTACTCTTCTTTGGATGCACTCCAGCACCTCACTGTCTCTCTTGCAGCGAGGTGTCCAGAAATGAACACACTATTTGAGGTGTGGTCCCACCAGTGCCGAGTACAGGGGAAGAATCCCATGTCCTGACCCATGCCTCATGCTCCTTTTGGCTGCCCATTCTCCAAGGGCATGGGAACTGCCATTGCTAAGCTGCTGGCAACCCTTGCACCCCAGAGACAGTGCAGCTGGCAGAAAGAGAAGCTAAACCAGCCCCAGCTTCTTCATTTGTTAAACAGCACCACGGGGGAGGAAGGGGATACATCCGCTCCCAAGGCTTTGCAGAGGAGGTTGGGAAACATCCCTTTTCCCGTGGCACCCCTTGCAGCTGCAATCCCACCATGTCCCACACTGCCGGCACAGCACAGGCAAACATCTTTCTGATCTGATGGTGCTACTTCCTACCTCATGCTGCTCGCAGCTCTGGCACACAAGTCTCGGTTTGGCTTGAAATGGGAAAGGTCTTTCCCACTGAGCTGGGATGTAAATGGGGGCTTAGATATACAGGAGCTGGAAGCCAGCTTTCTGGATTTGCTCCTGTTGTTTGCCAAATACTCTCTATTCACAGGAAGATGATGAAAAGCATTTCTGTAAGTTTGTGGCTGTCTAGTTCCTAGCAAGCTGTTAATGTGAAGGAGGGGAGGAAAACCCAACCCCAAAGCCTGAAAACCTGGACAGCTTACAAACCTTCTCTATAGCTTAAATAGAGGGTTGGTCTAATACTTCTAACTGGCTAGAGCAGCTCTCACCATTTCCCAGACTGTTACTTACGTGCATGTAACCACTCTAACTGCTTATGCCTGTTATTGTCCTGCGTCCCTTTCCTCCTGGCTGACATGGAGCAATGAAACTACCCAGGTTTGGCATTATAAACCAGGACACTGAAGCCAGAGCATGAATGTAAAAGGTAATAAATACCCCACTAATCTCTCCAGCAACACAGAAGCAATAGCAGGATCTTTTTGCTCCAGAAAACTCAAGATGGTGTTTATTAAGGTTTTTTTCATTCTTGGAGTTCACAACATTCCAGTTTTCAAATACACACCTCCATGTGTGCCCAAATGATTCATATTGCTATACAGTAGGACCCTATCTTTTTCCTTGAACCCTGGGTCTGTGATTGCTTGTGCCTCTGACATGTCACTTAAAATCTCTCTGCAACTAAAGCCCCCATCTGTGAAATAAGGTGACACACTTTATTGAATTCTGGTTGTTTAGACTACTAGCTTCTTCAGTGTTAAAGAGCTTCTACTTTTCTATGGTATCCAACATAGTGACCTCCGAGCTTGCTTTGGGTCTCTGAAGGAAAATGGAATACAGAGCTGCAGAGATCCCATAAATTTAAACTTGTGCTCCCCAAGAGACAATCAGACATTTCACCAATCAGTTGTTAGGAAAGTAGCAAATGTTGTCTCTATTTTCTTAAAAATGCCCATTTTTACAATTAATGCAGTTTAATATTTAATATTTTATATTCAGCGTGTCCTCAGCCCCCTCAAGTACTCCTATCATCAGTAAACCTTCATCTGTTCAGTAGAAGGCAAATCAGCGATACTGAGGCAGTATTTTCATCCTCACACCACTTGAGCAGCTTCCAGTTGTCCAAAGGAAGGTGTCAAGCCAGGTTTCACCTTGCTGGCCCAGGCATCACAGATGACACTGACCACCTGGTGAGGGATTTGCACACAGAAGGAAAACCTGCATAATAGTCGCAACCCTGATCACTACAATGCCCAATTGCTTTCTCTGCAGATCCAGCTGTGTGATTTCCAGACAGAAAGCAACACTGCCAAGTAGTATTTAGCCCCATACATCCACCTCCCTCAGAGCAAGGCCCTTTCCTTCAGTGATTCTCCAGGGGGTGATTCAGATCTCTGATATGCTGTTCAGATGTTCCTCTCTCACTTCTTTGCATTATAGGTAATATGGAAGCTCCTACCTTTGGCATCTCAGCTAGGTTAGGTGACTTTGGCAGATGACTTCTTTTCCCTCCCCTCCCCTTCCTTTCCTTTCCTTTACTGTTCACAGCAAGGATGTCATACTTTACCTCATTACAATGATTTACTGTTTTTCACCTTGTCCCACTGGTTTCTCTTTTATATATTTATGGCATTTATTTACCTGTAGCTGCATTTAAATGAGAAACAACAAAAGGTTGCCAATAGTTTATTCCAGAAACTTGTATCAGGAGCTTATACATACATTTACTCTTAAAGAGAGATCAAGGTATCTGTTTCTTATGCTCCTGTAGCAAATCAGATCTGTTTTCAAACTACTTTTATTGATATCTTGTAATGAAGACATCTGGTCTCAGGGCATTCAATGTAGCATGGCACTTTGGTCACAGAACCAGAAATGCTCCCTTTTCCAGCACCCCTCAAAAAGATGATCTCTCTGAATGACCTTTATGCTCCTAGGCCATCTCCTAGGCCATTCAGCTAACCACTGATGGAGCACTCTACTTACTAAGCTTTCAGGACCATAGCTATGCTCAGGAGACTTTTCACAGTGAATATTTACCACCCTGTGGCTGGGGTCCAGGTTCTGCTCTTTGTGCCCATCTGAGCACCATGGCATCTTCCTTTCCCACCCTTCTGCATCCTGGGGCAGGAGCCTAGACTAAACACTTGCCTGGCAAAGGAAATAGGCGGGGTGTCCCGTCATCTGCTGCTTGTCCAGAGCACTCATGCTTGTGTATGAAGACAGCGCTTGATCATGTTGCCTGCTCTCCTGCCCTTCCTACACTGACATCTTCATTCTCTCCTCCAGAGCTTTCAGAAATGGAAATCAAAGATTCAGGCCATCTTGGATCCAGGCACGGGAGCACAGCAGGATGACATCTGTAAATATCCAGAAAATAATGGCATCATTTAACTTATTTATCTCTGAAGAGATTACACCAAGTGTTTCCATGCAAATCAGAGCAATGGAGTAGATGTAAATCCATGACAGGAAACTTTTTATACACGAAAAGAGATTGTAAACTTCTGGTGTAAAGTTATGGACTACATTCATGAGACAGTAAGTCAGATGGCTCTGCTTTACATCCCCCAGGGATTTGCCCTTTACAACCATGCTTACACAGACTGGCAAAAGAAAACTGGGGAGAGCAGCATGCTCTGTCTCCAAAAGAGCCAGATGGTGTCAAGGGGCATGGCAGGAAAGCCCTGCCAGGAAGCCCAGCTTGCCATCCTGGGAGGTGCACCCATGACTGAGCACAGCACCTCAGGAGCAAGCAACAATGTCTGCATGTATCTTGGCTGCACTGTGGGAGATGCTGTGGGCTCTGTAGCCAATTCTATATCCCAGAATAAAGATCAGGATCAAGAGAAAGCCTACACTAACTGAGCCTGGGGCTGCAGATGGCACTCTGGTATGTGCGTGCGCGCTAGACACGTGGAAGGTCAGCAGCTCTGAACTGGGGAATGGCCTGGCAGAGCAGATGCACCCTTGCCCCAGGCATGGTGAAGGTTTTCAGGCAGAAGATGGATAACCTTCAGGATATAAAGTTTGATCTCATCCCATTTGCTGCAGTCTGTTAGCAGTAGGACATGGCCCCAGGAAGCCTTGTCACTCAGAGAGTGCCCCAAACCAGTGAGGAACCTGTCTCCAACCTCCTGCTCCAACACAAAGGTACTGACACTACACCAGCAACTACTAGGTTTTTTTCTGACAGAGGGGGGCCCTTTGTGTCAACATGTAAAATCAATGCGCAGACAACCCTGCTATTAAAAATTAAGCAAACAACAGATTGACCAGGGGATACTGGAAAAGCCCCAAGCATAGGGATGGACCAAGAGAAGTGCATTGCAAATATCTCCTGCTCCTTTCCCTAATATGACTTCCATTTGCATGCAGTAGCAGCAAATCCCATCCCCTGCCATGGGGCTCCATGTATATTTGTGGGAGATTTCTGAGCTCAAACCACCCAATACCTGTGTTTGGGGTGGTAAAAAAAGCAAAACCAAAAACTAACAAAACACCTGAGCAGGCAATAAGACATATTCTCTGTCCTAAAAAACTTGTGTGCCAAAGGCACATGGCAGAGCGAGGGTTGGACTCTTTGCTGGATGAAGGCCAGGTGTGCCCACTCAGCCAAAGGATGTGGTGTAGTCAGGGTAGAAGAGAGCCCTGCTGCTCTCCTAGCAGTAGTCCACAGCTATAGCCCCCACTCTCTCCATGGAAAAACTCCATGGCTGAAGCAATATCTGGCCTCTGAACTCCTCTGCAGCAGATAATGACTCTGGAGTCACATCTTTATGCATTTCTGTACAGGCAGTTTTACTATCTGCTTACTGGGGAAGAAATGGGTGTAGCTAAACACTTTAATTGAGATACTGCTATCAAGCTGAAACTATACATGTATAAACACCCCCAGTCACATATCACTGCTGTACCCAAGCAATACAAGTGACTCAAGACTTCCAGGCCACCTTCAATTTAGTGATCGTTTAGCAGCCCTGAATTACAATGTGGGAAGTGAAGGACCAGGAGGGCAAATGAACACTTTCAAAAGCCATCTGGAGCTAAGTAGGCTCCTTCTCTCATCCGTTTTGCACTGTGGGTTATTTTCCCAGGTCCTTGGGGCAATACCACACATGTTTTTTTCAGTACAGGGCAAAAGCAAGCTTTGCCCTCCTCCACTCTGCTGCAGTCAAGTTGTGTGGAGATGAGGGACCATGACTTTTGCTTAGGCAGGTGTGAGCCAGTGCAGTCACCAGGAAGTGACTTGGGTCTTGGCACTGCTGCAGTTTCCTCTGTGTGCAAGTGGGATCCCAATACACAGCAGGCTTCCCACTCCTTATTCAGTCAGTGGCTTGTCCTGGGCTGACCTGGATGTAGCAAGTGAGAAAAATACTGCATGAGGCCTCATTTAATCCTAGGTTCTCTTTTAACTACTAACCAAACCACCTCTGTACCAGCGTGTCACATTGAGAGGATGTGGACAAATATATCCATGCTGAGGAGTGGCAGAGGCTGTAGTCTGCATTTAGAAATGCTGAGCAGCATGTTTTTGTAAGCTGGCTAATTAGTATGGGCTTGAAACTAATGGCTGCATTTAACTGACAAGGCAATATGCCCTTCACCCATCCCTTGAGATGTCAGGAGAATTATTTCTTTTGAAAGGCATGCCTGTTAACCCATTCCTCTCTATCCACTTTGATCTTTTCAATATAATCCTTTCCCTCTGCACTTCTCTTCTTCATAAGGAAGAGACTGTGAATGTAAATCATACTGGTTTGCAGCCTTCTCTTCCTCCCTTGCTCACTGAGTTGCATGCCTGGGTCTCCTGTGCCAGTGGCAGCAGACAGGGCATTTCTGACACTGGTCTCACATGAGGAGCTGGGGAAAAGACAACACTGTGGTCTTAAAGTGTTAGCACTGATGCAACCACAAAAAGATGCTGTTAGAGAAACTGAACTGCTGCAGATACCTCTGTGCTTCTCCAAGGCAGCAGGGAGGTCAGGAAGAGGCAGTGATTCAGCAAGTCACAATTTTCCTCCCAGGTTGTTCCCTTGGGCTCTGGATTAAACTAAAAATTGATGGCCTGGCATTTAAATGAGAAGGAGAATCAAATTTTCTTACAGATCTCATTCAGATCCAAGTACTGTGCAATCCTGGTGCCATATACACCCATACACCCAGATGCTTGTGATGTTTCCCTACACAAAGATGCTTGTTAATACTTGACAAAAGCAGGTCAGAGTCTAAAGGTAGATAGTATTTGGTGGGGAAGAAACAAAAGGAATATAGCAATAAATATACACTGTTATTTAGGGCCAAGTCTTGCCCTCAATTTGAAGGGTTCTGTACAAAGTTAGGAAATGTTTTATGTATCCAAAGTTGGATATAATGTTCAGTGCACCCAAGAATGGAGAAGTTAATTGCCAAATTGGCGAATACTTCTCAGTATTGTTAGCAGTGGCAAATCTGGCCTTATGTAGGAGTCAGAAGAGATTTCAGTGTTTAGGTTGCCCTTGAGACATGAGAGGCATCATTTTGAAAGATAAATGTTTATCTTCTGCATCTCCAGAAACATGTTTGAAGAGACTGTCCTCCCTCACACAGGGGTCTGTTTGGCACTTGAAGAGCCTTGCTAGCTTTGCATTTCCAAATAGGGATGCCTCTATTTTGGCTTCCACATTCAAGGAACGGGCTAACAGTAGCTGTATTCCAGGAGCGCTGAGCAATTCTGCACATTATTTACAGTTACTGTAAGCTGCAGATCTTTAGGACTTCACAAGGTCAAGTCACCAGGACTTAAATCACTGCAGTGTGGAATTACAGTCCTATTTTGAGTCACCAACATTTTAAAGTTTTGCTCCAAGCCAGCAATTGCCTACAGTATCACACCAAATTAAAAACAAAACAAAAAAGGAGGAAAAAGGGTAAGGAAGTAAGAGAGGTTTGGCTGAGAATAACATTATTATAGATCATGCACCAAAAGGAGATGACTTCAGGGATAAATGACCCTTGCAACTGACTTCCCCAAGTCACAGGATGTCAGTCTGTGTTTTGAAGGCACCTACTATGTATTGCAAAGGACTGATGTGAAAAACTGCATGCTGTCCCCAGACTAAATAAGCGATGCTTTGTTTTCAGCTTAAAAAAGACAGAAAGAGGGAAAGGAAGGGAGGGAGAGAGAAAGCATGTCACAGATGAAAGTGCATTCTCATAGGTCACACCAGAGTGTCCTTACCTCAGCAAATGCTCTGGCTTAACCTCATAACTGAATAATCCTGCTATCTGATACTGCCTGAGAAATAAACAGCGTTCTTTAAAACTCTTGCCCATTTCACAGCACTTCCTTGTGACACTGCAATAAAGTAGGTTGCAGCAAGTATCCTGCATGCTATGCCTCCAAATGTACCAGTTAATTACGGAGCCCTTTAAACCTGCTAACAAGACAAGCCTTGTTCTTTCAACCTATTGCTTTTTGCCAAAAAAAGAAGTAAAAAAAAAAAAGTCTGTTGGGCAAATAAATCTTTCCAGAGAAAACAGATTTGTTTCCAAATCAGTCAACTGTGCTGAACTAGAAAGGAAGAAATGTTATTCTTTCCAGGATGAAAGGAAAACAAGATCTCTCCCTGTTTACCCTGTCTCACCCATTTCTATAGAAGGTCGGTTTAATTCCTTCATTACTTTTTCCTGCTGTCTTATTTATCTTGAAGTCTTCTGGTCTTTTTCAATTTCACTGGCAAAGCCCAGCCTAGTTGGTCCAACATGGGAGTGAACTGTGCTTTGCTCTTTACAGCCATGCAAAGATGCTGAATAAAGCCAGGTGAGATGTAAATATCCAGAGTTTTTCCTTTCTTCCTCATTTTCTCCCGTAAAAAAAAAACAAAACATAAATCTCAAGCGCTTATTGTTGATGTGTTTTCCTTTCAGCATCTTGTTCATTACAGATGCTCCTAAGCCTGTGAAAACAATCACAAATTCAGACTGCCCCAGTCCTGTATGTTGTGTCATTCTGAAATACAAACCCTCTTACTTTAAGCATCCTTTAATAGTGATGCCTGGGACTGAGTCTGGAAGGAAGGAATGGCAGTAGAGGTATAAGGCAATGAAATAAGCCAGAGAAAAGAGCTTTGCTACCTCTATAAGAGGTAGCTTTTAAGCTTTAACTCAGGAGTTTTAGGCAACTCTGGGGGTTGACTACAGTTCAGCCACAGTCAGTAGAGGCCATCAGGTTTGCTTACACCAGCCCAGTGAGCAGGCAAAGTGTGTTTTGCAGGCTGGAGAGATAAAAGGCAGAATTAGAGATGGATATTCATGTAATAGCCATGGACTGTAAGAAAAGGTCATTAGATCAGTTAGTCTGATCGCCTAGATGACACCTTAACTAAAGGAAAATGCACCTTTCTGAATTCTCCTGTGAGTGCTCTTATTGTGCTGGGTTAGTTACACCAGTTTAACCTCTTCTGCCCTCACGTACAATCCATTGACTTTAGAGTATCGGCATCAACAAGACTGCCTGAAGGGAGGTATATGTTACCTGCCGTTATGCAGGTTTTAGTGTAAAAGGTTCAGACACATGATGAAGTGCCTAAGCCTTATCTTCAGCCTCTTCTGCTGTTGAATTACCTCACTCATGCCTCAGGCACTGAGAGTGCAGACACAGCTACAGCAGCTTCCCTGGGACCAGGGAGCTGTGAAGTGATGATTCAGGCACCATAACCTGATCAGGTGCCTGTGCCCTGAATGCAGTTGGGCAAGTGTAGAGGCAACCTGAGCTCATGTAGTGCACAGACCAAAGAAGCTGGAAGAGCTATCATGGCTATAGTCTCTGTGTGAAATTCTTCAGTGGTATGTTGAACCCTTAGCTGCACCTGGTTCTCAGCTTGGCTTCTACACTCAAGGTCACAGCCCTGTTGAATCATAAAATGTGCTAAATCAGAAAAGAATAGGATATGATATATGGCAGTGACTACATGGTTCCATAGCTTTGCTAACAAAATGAGCAGCAATTTCACATCTTCCAGGGCAATTCCAGTTCAAGTGCCAATGTTAACTGCATCAGTCCTTGCAAAACAAACTAGCACTCCTTCATGGTCCCCTTTGGTCAGATTTTATCCACTGTCCTGGAGCTTCCAGTGGTTTTATTTCATGGTGTTGTCCTTCATCTACCCAGACATTAGAAGCCTGGTCAAGCATTTTGCTCTTTTCTGACTTTGGTGTCATAGAAGGCAGATCTTCTGACATGCACTGCCCAATCAGAATTGTTTTCCTTGCTTCAGTGTTTGTCCTTTTCAGAGGTGGTACAGGGCTTTCTGAAGTTGGCTATGTGCTCCTGCTGGAGGGAGAGCCTTACAGGATGAGGTTACCTGCTTATTTCCAGGGAAGATGGCAACCCAGGAAGAAAAAGCAGTCTTTCTTGGAGTGCTGCATTTCCCAAGGGCGACACCTTTGGAAAGGAGAGGCACAACTGTTTACACACACCCCTGGCACATGGGTTTCTGTTAGAAGCAATTGCCTTAGTAGCACTTTCTCCACACTGGATTCTGTGATGAGAACAACTGATTCCATAGCACCAAAGCCATTTAGAAAATGCTACCTCCCTCATCTTAGCTCAGGCACCTACTGCTGGGATATACAAACAGTTCTTAAATGCCAACTGATCTACTCTGCTGACTTTCATGGGAATGTATCCATGATCCATCATCAGTGCTTAGTTCTCTTAACCCCCTTAGACTTCTGGGGGTCGTCATTTTGTGTTATTGTTAATACTAAAGAAAGTATTTCCAAACCAAATATACTGGCTGTGAAAATCATCACACTCCCATTGAAGTCAACAGGAGTTATTTGAGTGGGAGCAGATGGCACCTGTTCTTTTTTTTATAGCTGGTGTTTATTCACTGACTCTAGATGCTCCTAAAATCTTTACACTGTCAACCCTTCTCTACATAGATCTAATCCAGCCTGCGTGAAGGCAACATTTGCCAGCTGGGCCTCCAAGATATTACACTGTGAAAATAACTACTGTAGAGGAGAACAGCTTTGGCAGCAACTACATGAGTATTGGAGAAATGCAAGGAGTCAAAGGGCAAGGTTTTGGAGGGTGCTGCCATAAACTGTCTGGTGGAACGTATTAGGGAGACATTCAGCAAATGTGACTGAGACCTCTGAGTCTCTGCCAGCCGTCAGGTTTGAAATTACAGCCATAACAATTAGCCATGATTACTTCCCAATGTTGTTAAGTACAGTGCAAAGATCACCAGTTGGAGTAGTTTCCTTCTGTGATAGTTAAGTTTGATGCCAAAGAAGAGTATCAGATCTCACAGCTGACGATTAGTGATGGATTGGCAGGTGTGCTCAGGGAAGAGACAGGAGG